CTAGCATCACAGAGCAGCACACTGAGTTTAATGGATGTTTCCTTCTGCACTTTCTCTCACGACAACAGGGCATGTTTGGTTTCTCTTTGAGGGAAATAGTTTTGTTGAAGCTGTTGTTGGCCTGTGGAAAAATGTAATCATAAGAAATGACTCCGGAAAAGCTGCAGATAAGAAATGAATGCAACTGATTATTTAATGTTTAATGTTGTTTTTATAGGCAATCATTTAAGCTTTGTTAGTTCCAGGTTTAATATGTGCAATAAGTTCATTTCAATAAGTTCTGCAATAAACATTGAACCAGTCCGGCCCTCCACTAGTACCCATTTTTTAATTTTGGCCCACTGTGTATTTGAGTTTGACCCCCCTGGTTTAACACTAGTAATGTCATCTCATTTATATTTGCTTAGATACATTGGTACCTCAGGTTGTAATAACACATGGTTCATTTTTATAAAGTTTTAATTATAAAGAAAACAGTTCTGATAATACATTACATTACATGTCACTTGTTAGACACTCTTATCCAAAGCGACTCACATACATTCAGTACTGTGGGCAATCCCCTCAGTAGCAATTTGGGGTGAAGTGTCTCAGGGACACAACGACATGCTGACTGCAGTGGGACTCGAACTTGCTATCCCCTGATTCAAAGTCCAGCGCACTATACCACTGAGCCACAGCCTCCCCTAGATGACCAAAACTATAACACCAAGGCTATTTAAAGAAAGGTCACTGCCTTTTAATGATTTATTTCCCTGGACCTCTCCTAGATCCTGGCTCCTATAACAATCATACTGTTTAGTATTTCATTTAGCCAGCTGTGAAGTCAAAGCGGAGCAATAACTGAGCCACTAAGCCCCGACTGCAAGCTCATGTTTTATGTATGTGTGACTTTCTGTGTGCAGGAGTGGACTGTTTGCATACTGACATGTATCTACTAAAAAGCATATTGAATGTATTTCAGTCGGAGAGCGGCTCGATTGTGTGCAAACTGTCAGAATAAGAAATCTGCTACTCTCTCATTCCAGTATCAGTGTTGTGCTTCCACCAGAGGAGGTTCATGTAGTGTGAATAAGTGGAGTTTATAGTTATGTGTAGACGATGAGATAAAATGTTGGATGAAACCCCGTTTGACACATAAACAGCGTTTTCAAATCTACTCGACTTAGTGTGGCCATGTCCTTAATTGCTGGCATTCAACTCCCGCTGCATTGCTCACACCCCGCATCTCTGTCTTCTCTTTCTCTCCTCCACTTCATTCTCTTTTTGAAGCTCCGAGGTTGCATGCTAACAAAAGGCGTTGTGTTTGCATGGTGAGGCCCCTGATTGGGCAATCTTGACTAAGCTGTCTGAATGGAGGGTCAGTGGGAGACGAGGACTCCCTCTGAGTCCAAACGTCTTTATCTCTGTGTGTTGGTGCAGCTCCAGCAGCCTGTGATGCTAACTGTGCCACACCTGGTTATTACACACCTCCTGCTTATCAAATACTACTTTATTTAAACAGAACACAAATCAAAAACAATACACTCAAATAAAAACAACACTTTTTTTTAGCTAGATCCAAACAGAAGTCAATAAAATAGCAATAAATACAATTCAGTTAAAAGCTTATTAAAAATTAAAAGGTGGTTCTTGAGTGTACTCCTAAAATAAAGACCATTCCCTTCTCTCATTATAAGATATATATGTAATAGAGATGCCAGCGATTATTCGAATATTCGTTAAAGTCTCCATTATCGAAAATTATTTTTATAAAATTCGATTTTCTTTAAATATTTTTTTATTATTATTTATGTTTTTCTTTTTTTTCGGCGGCGAATAATCGATTGATAATCACCAGGGCTGTCCGATTTTCGAATTTGATCATGGTCAGTTTCTGGTATCCCTAATATTTAATACACATACATTTATTTACAGTCTACATCATTATTAATATATTACCATTTGTAGTATTTTTTTTTGTTCGACTGTAAAGTATTTCATTTGAACTTTTTATTTCGTTTTCATTTTTACACAAATGTATAACCCCTAAAGAAGACACATTAATACATTAATCAATACAACAAAGTTACACTAATAAAAAAGGAACCATAAATAAATAAATACCTGTTTTCTATTCTAATTGTTTACAGTGTTATCGCACCATTGTGTACCACCACCATTTGCATTTCTTTGTATACCTTAAGTATTACATATGGTTTGCTGTTGGACAATATTGCAAAACTAAGCGGTGGCTATTGTGCATTTGACTCTTGAATATTTGTACCTGGATAAAACCTTCTGTAAAAACAAGAGATGTGTAAATATAGGAGAACTAACTTGTGGTTGTATTGGGTTTGCTCATTACCATTGTGCCTGGGTTCTCCCATACTTCCCCTCATCTTTCTGTTACATCTCCCTCTTTATCCCACCGCCTCTCCCTCTGCTCGGAGCCTCCGGAGTTAAGCCTGCCCTCTGGTAGCAGCCATTTAAGAAAGACTCGCACCCTGACCTCACCCCTCCATTATTTCTTTTAAGGAAATTCCCTCCTTCCCTCCTTTTCTCTCACATTGGCCTCCTTTGCTTTTTGCCCCAGCTGAGCCTTTTTATTGCACATTAAAAGGCAGGCAACATCTGGAGCTTTTCATCACACACAGCTAGTCGCAGCTTTGCCGCTAACACGCACACACACACACACACACACACACACACACACACACACACACACACACACACACACACACACACACACACATACTGCCTCTCTGCATTCTCACGCTCTCCGGTTGATCCAAAGTGACTGGTGATTGGCATCAATCACACAGGCTGTTAGAAAGGTNCGTGGTCGTGGTCGGGTCGCGGAGGTAGCAGTTCCAGCAGAGAACCCCAAACGTTCTTTTCCCTGGCCACATCAACCAGCTCTGACTGGGGGATCCCAAGGCGCTCCCAGGCCA